TTTAATACCAAATTGAAATCTCAAGTCCCTGTTAAGTAGCCTCAACACAACCACCACTCTTCCTAGGGTAGACACCATTGGACGGAACTGAATTTGCCATTTGCACTCAACAGAATCATGTTCAAGCATGTGACACATTCAAGAGACAGGCTATAAACTGAAGGACACCACAAAATTGAGCCCTCCAAATGTGCTTTCGTGCTGGAATAAATACATTGCAAACCGTTCAATCAATTTCTGGCTAACCACATGAAGAGGTGATACTCTATAGCAAGACTATTTATTAGCTTGAATCTTACTGCCGAATGATCTGCAGTAACAATCTGTATTGCTTTTATACATGTCTTCTTGGGAACTACAGACAGATGTTCATCAGTAACAGATCACCAAAATTGCTACAAAATCTTTAACCTGGGAGTAAGAACCTGGTGGAAGTTGTAGAAAGATTTCCTATTCCAGATCAACAACTGTTGAAACCTACAAACCAGTTGACCTGGTTCAGTAACCTGCACTTTTGAAAGATTGATTTACTTCTGGATTTGTTTACTTGTAGACAATTCAAATTTACTTTCTACTTAAAGATTTTAAGGTTGGACCTTGCCATTGCTAAGGCCAAACACAACATGCCACAGTGGAAATGTAATTCATAATGGTGCCTAAATACTATCAAATTTACCTGGCCCTATCCTTTCTTTCTACTTCAAACATCAGCACTTGGGTTTTACATTTATTCCAACTACCTGGATATGCCAGGTTGACCTTTCACAGCACAGCAGCATGTGCTTAAGTATTTAATTCAGAACAATGAAAATGTAGCTACACAAATTATTCATTTCTATCATACTTTTCCTTATGATTTTGTCTTTCATTTCTGTGCCTTTTAGAACTGTGGACTGAAGTGAGTTTTTTTGAAAAAAGGGATTTACAAGGATGGCTGCATCTTTTGAAAGCAAATAATTTGATACATATTGTGAACTCTGTTTGCGTAGCTGTGGGTTTCAGCAATGTGTGGATGAACAAGCAGCTGACGGGTTGCTTACATGTGAGGCAGATTAATTTGTGGACTAAGGACTAGTTATCAATGACAAAGGTCCCCTGCCCATCCAAAAACTGTGAAATTGGCCATCAAGTAGCTGAACAGCATAGGCAATGAACAGGAGACAGAAAAGCTGTCAGACTAGAAGATAAACCAGTCAGTCTGCAACAGCCAAAACCTCCCTCTCATTTTTCTTCAGTAAGAAGAAAAACTGAAGAAAACCAGTCTCAGTCCTTTAGCAGGTGTTGCAAGTTGTGACTTTGAATGGGATAGGTCGTAAGTGAACCAGGCATCCTGTGCCTCTTGCAAACCAGTGAAAGCAGTCAGAAAAAGGAAGACTGAGGAGAAACCTTCAGTGCAGCAAGAACCAACAGATCTTGTAAGCAAAGACTACAAAACTGTTCTTCCAGTTTTCTTTTCTACACTGTTTTACATTCATTTGCTTAAGAGGGAGTTTATACGAGGCTGTATTTTAACCTTCATTGCTGCTGCATGACTGGTTGGACCCAAGGGTCTGTTTCTGTGCTGTATGACTCACTTCCTCCCAACAGCATTGAGGGTCTACCTATAGCTCACAGACTACAGCAGTTAAGACAGCACCTCACCCCACCTTCTCAAGGGCAACTAGGAATGGAGAATAAATGCTGGTCCAGCCAGCAATGCCCACATCCCATGGGTGAATTAAAAACAAATGTAAAGTTTACTTAAGTTAGAATCATAGAATCCCTAGAGTATGGAAAAAGACCAATTGGCCCAAGTCCATACCAATTATCCGAAAAGTATCCCACTCCCAGACACACCCCTGCATGTCCCATGGACAATCTACCTAACCCAGACACTATGGGCAATTTACCATGGCCAAACCACCTAACCTGCACAGCTTTGGACTGCGGGAGGAAACCCACGTAGACACAGGGAGAATGTACAAAATCCACACAGACAGTCTCCCCAGGGTGGAATTGAACCTGGCTCCCTGGTGCTGTGAGGCAGCAGTGCTAACCGCTAAGCCACCGTGCTGCCCCATGTTAACTAGAGTCTAACCGCGTGCAATAAATAGTAATTCTTAAGTATGAAAATCTGGACCATGTTTTCTATCAACTTGGGTCCGAAAATCAGTTAGTTTGGGGATTCTGCACACTTCTTTTTAAAAATAAACTTTAACTTATAACTACTCTAGTAATAACAGGGCTTCATTTCCAACACCAGTTCAGTGAGTTGTGCCACTTTCAAATTAATTTGAGGATTCCTTTTTAACAAGTTTGTACTTTAGATACAATATGGCTGTATTAATTGATTTAAATGTATTCAATTTAGGTTATTAGGAAAAAAATTAGGAAAATGAGATTTGCCTGCATGGGTTACTTAAGAAAATGCACAAGGAACAAATTGATGCAGTCAAGTGGATTCGTTCTACATAACAGGAGGCAAACAAAAAGGTAAACATCTACAGTTCCTCACATGATGAACTGTAGCCTCAGGCAGATTATCTTAAGGGAAAGAAAAAAACCACACAACAGGAATCAATTGTGACAAGAAAGACACTGAGTTTGTCAAAAGATAGAAGCAACTTCCTCAGACATTCCCCTTATGTACAACTGCTAATTAACCCACAAAACATTCATTGGCGTTTTTAAATTTGAATTTTCATTCCTTCACATCAGGACCTATATCAACAAATCTTCGTTATTATTACATCAGAGCACCACACCCCTCACCACACACAATCCTTGTGATGTCACACCTTTAGCATCACATCACTCTTTGAAGCCTGTGCCTTCAGCGCAGTGACAGATAAGCATGTTTGCTTATTTCCTTTGCAGCTACATCCCAAAGGAGCCAGGTAAAGACAAGCCAGGGCTGCAGAGTTTGGTGGTGGTGGCATTCCTTGAGATCCAGAGTGTTTTCACAATTTTACTGCTTTAGAAGTCTGCACTTACCAAGTTCTTTATCTGCTGGGTACAGCCTTAAATACAAGTATGGGTAATCAGTCAAGTTTACACATTGACAGGTGTCAGCAGAACTCAATGTGGCTGCCCCCAAAGCCTATGCAGACAAACCACAATTTCTGGATTCAAGCAGGAGTAGGCAGCCCATATTTTGTGTGTTGTCAATATGGCCCTCAATAGTGGCAACATTCTTAGCATTCACCATCAGACTTGTTAAATCTGGGCCAGAATTTTTAAAGACTTGCACAACCAACCAGGCACACTCTTCCCCTGCTTACAGTAACTCACTCCGAAGGAGACTCTTTAGTTCTGTTAAATGGCAGGCAAGGATTATCAAACTCGGTGAAAATATTCCTCCCAATTAATGTAAAGTAGTAATCAACAAAATTCAAAGAAAGACACTGCATAATCTGAATTTGCTTGTTTATTCAAAATCCAAGCTAAAAATACTTTGCAGCCCACAGAATTAGTACCCACTAAATCATGAGAAGGCTAAAGAGACAGCAAGCTCTGCTGCAAGAACAGTGCATCAAAAATTCTAGAGCAGGAATAAGTTTTTGATACAGTTGCCCTGATAAGCAATAAATAACAGGCAAAATAAAATTCAATAAAACTATATATACGGTATTAGGCAAAGAAGAGGACTACTTAAAATATATAGAGGGTTTCATAAAGCAAGAAAGAATTAAAAAGCAGAATTTCCATCAAATGCAGGCTTGTTTATTTAATCCAGAACGCTAAAGTCAAAAGCTTAAAAGAACAATCATATGCAATACATTAAAAAAACACAAGTCCCGCAATGTAATAAAAGCAAAGAAATGGTTAATTATTGAAAATGTTGCAAAACGAATGGATCAAACCTTTAATCAAGAATCCGAAAATGAAATTCTGAAGATTACAGAAGCAGCCAATCTAAAGCTGTGCAGCATTGTCTGGAGCCAAAATGCTTCAGGATAATTTGAGTTTCAAACAACTTGACTAAACGGCAATCTCAGTAAATGATGCGGGTTCCTGAAATTCCAGCACATTTCAAAAAACTAACTGGACATCTGTCTGATCAGCTGGATTACTAATTTTGGATTTAAATCCTAACTGAACAGGCACAAGGCTTTTATTTCTTCACATGGGATCCTGCAATTATTTGTTAGAAGACAAGGTAACAAAACACCATTAACCAATGGACATTATAACCTATCTTTGCATGGCTTTCCATAAATTAGACATTCAAGTTTAAGCTGTCTGTTCACCTGTTATTTGCCTGGACAAAAGGCAAGACAACTAAAACAAACTGTAAAACAAAGCACAATGCACATCGACATTTCAACACAGCAGACTTTGTTTGGGGAACAGGCTGCATTATACAAGATAAAATTTTAAAAATCTATAGTGCAGCAAAAAGAAAAATTCCCCTTGGAAATTCATTGTTGCTTGTGCACAAAATATTCACCAGGAGATAGCATTCACTGACATTGCTGAGGGACAAAGCAAACAGTACTGTACTTGTTCCAGCTTGTACAGCAGTGGGCAGGGACCTTAAAATTGCTTATGCATAAAACAAGTAATATGAGCATATCATTCTATGAAAGGCCAGTCTTCAACTCATTTGATATCACACTCAAAGGTATTTTGCACCTTTGGGGCCAAGGTGCAATATTATGCAGACAGCTAAACATGCCTAATTGTCAAATTAGTTACCCCTGATTCAGAAAGGTGAAGAAAGAAAAAAAAACTCCATGTTCCTGCTGCTATTGAGAAAATTGCAGAGGCCCACAATTTTTCTTTTGGGGAAGTGGGGTGAATGCGTCCTGCAATGTACTCTTATTATAAAACAAAGAACTGTGAATGCTGGACTTCTGAAACAAAATCAAATTGTGGGCAAAACTCAGCAAATCTGGCAGCACCTGTGGGAAAACAGCTCTGATGAAAAATCGCCAGACTCAATGTTAACTCTGCTTTCTTCCCACAGATGCTGCCAGACCTCGAGTTTTGCCAGTCGTGTACTCTTATTGCTCACTTACCTGTTTTACGTTGTAGCCAGCTTTAGCACTAGTTTCAATAAACATTACATTCAGTTCTTTGGCTTTTCTTTCTCCTTCCTCAATTGCAACTTGCCTGCAGCAGATAATAGAACTTACATTAAATTTTCAAATGTAGCAGGTGAGAGTTGGAAACATGAATCAGATATTGAATGCAAACTTTAGGGAACAGATTACGTAAAGCCAATGGTCGAGTGATAACCCCAAATTAAAGGCCAATTTTTTTGATTATAGGTAATTCTTCCTTAATATAGTAGCTTCAAATTAAATGGACAAGCACATAGAAAGCTACGTGAAAAATCCAAAATCATAGAATATACACAGATCCTACGGAAAATAATACTGCTCCTAGTACACAGCAGGGTAGTAAGTTTCTGGTCAAAACAAGAAATCCTCAGTGATTTGTTCAAAAACACAAGAACCAAAGGGCAAATCTAAAATTGACAAAATATATGTGGCATGATGTTATAAGAATTATGTTCTTTCTTACACTCCAAAATGCTTTTATGCCGATGCTATTGGACAAAAACGATGAATAGGTTATTCTGCAAATTATTTTCGCACAAGGTAAAAATACAGCCCAATTTTAGTGCCCAACCTAGTAATAAATAGAATGAATTAATTATCGCCACAACCACAATATCCTGGTGTGGAACTATCAGCATGTCTTCACAGTTCGGTCAAAGTCCTGAAATTCCTCACTTAACAGCTCTGCCCATATGGACTGCAGTGGTTCAAGATCGGTTCACTACCATGTTCTCAACAGCAAGGATAGGCACTAAATGCTGCCTTAGACTTTAACATCCACATTCCAAAAATTAAAGTTTATAGAATAATTTTGTAAACAGCGATATTGTTATAAAATTTTACAGATAAGTCAAACATCCATGAACCCTTTCATGTACCCTTCTACACTATTCATTTTCTCCAAGGAGTCAAAAAAAAAATCAGAAAGCTTTGTGGATTGAATGCTTACTAGGTCATAAAAATCATTCTTAGAATTCCATTCCTTATCCGAATTAGGGAATAGCTCCAATTTGGTATTCATCCCTATCACAAAGTCAATATTTTCGAGGACAAACAAGAATTGGCTTCATTATGAACTAACCAGCCAGTATAAATTGCCCTTCATCAACTGCACAAGCAAATAATGGTTACAATCCAAATATGCTGAAAAAAGTCCAGTATCCCGAAAGTATCTGGAATTCTGAGTATTTTGTTTCAAGGTACAGTACACAAGAGCTAGAGGTAATGATCCTATACAAGACAATGATGTCACAGCAATGCATGAAGCACTGGGGTCTCCCATTATATACTTGAGTAAAAATGCATTCAATTGGAAGTTGCATTGTGGGAGAAAAACTTAATAGTTTGCAAAAGGTAGACATGGAAAATAAATGACAGAAGTATTTAAAATAACAAAAGGACTGCACAATCAGGTACAAACTGGTTTCATAGTCGACTTCAGAACAACAGTGTAGGAGGAAGTTGTCTTGTCACAAGAGGCCGGGGAAACACTTTCTGGCTTATTGGCTACAGCTAAAACTGCGACTAGGAAATTTCCAAGAGCTGCTTCATGTCACAGTAGCTTTGCTGGAAGCTAGTCAAAAAACGCATTTGCATGTGTATTCCCATGTACATCTGGAGGACATGAAGAAATGACTGAGGAATATCTAGGCTAATAAACAATATTCAACATTAGATCAGAAAGGTGAAAAAAAATGGGTTGAAAGTAATGTGGAAACATGGTGCAGAAACTAACAGGCAAACATTGACTGGTCTGGCATTTTACTATCATTTCCAAAGGAACCAATTCATATTCATTATGAATTCACTACCTTTGGGTCTGTAAACAAATTAGGGAAAATCATCCACTTACAAAAAGACAGGCAGACAACTGTTCACCAGACAAGGATGAAGGAAACCAATGTAAAAAGGAAAACGCTGTGGGAGCTGGAGATTTGAAATAGAAACGAAGTGTTAGAGAAACTCGGCAGGTCTGGCAGCATCTGTGAAAAGAGAAACAGTTAATGTTTTGAGTAGTTAACTACTTAACTAATGTTGAAACATTAACCAAGTTTCTCTCTCCATAGACGCTGCCAGACCAGATGTGCTTCCCCAACACTTTGTTTCTATTTGCTGGAGATGAAGGCTGCTTGGGTTTAAACAGTGGTAATTTTCTGAAGAAGGGTCTAGACCCGAAACATCAGCTTTCCTGCTCCTCTGATGCTGCTTGGCCTGCTGTGTTCATCCAGCTCTACACCTTGTTATCTCAGTAATTAGCCAAGTCATCTTTGTACAAGTACATACAGAATGTTAACAAAAGGTGGAGGATAGTATGTGAAAGATAACTGACTACTTCCTTGCAGTGGAGGTTTCACAAAGAAATCTTACCTTTTATCAGCGAGATCTGTCTTATTTCCCACTAACATTATGATAACATCACTTCCTCTCTCTGTTCGAACATCATCGATCCATTTAGTGGTTTGTTGGAAGGAGTTTACATCTTTTGTTTTAAAAAAGAAAGAGTATTAGGTGCAAATCCACCCCAGCAATACAAGCAAAGTTAGGTGCTTTTAAAATGTGTCCCATGTGACAAATGTAGACCAAAAAAAACAAGAAATTAAAATAGATGACTAATTTCTCCTGTTTTCTAATATCACAATGATCAGGTATAAGATGGACGATCAGGGAAGATACTTGGGGAAAAATCCAACCTACTTCCCTCAGCTGGTTTCACAGAAAAGAAACACCAAATGCCAACAAGCAAGGTGATGGAAGAATTATGTAAATGAATATTCTTACATGAAATCTTTTCACACTAACTCATTACATCAGGAACTGTTGCTAACACACTTAAGAGGAATGTGTATAAAGTTCAACATTAACATAAAACATAAGATCCTTGTCCTCTTCAAAAACAGAGTAGCTTGAAGTGTTTGACTTTAAAGGCACAACTAATTAACTTAATAAAGTAAACCACAAATGAATGAAACAAACGTTTCCTTGCACAAAATAGGAAGAGACCCAGACTGCACTCTCAACACAATTGTCGATATTTTTGATTACACATATTTCTGAATTATTACTATCAATTTGGACTGGCTCACTAGACAGAATGCAATTGGTGCTGAAAGAAAGTTTCATTTTAGATCATACGGTGGGCAAGTAACTGCTCCCAGATAATTATACTAAACTGATACCCTCAGAACAGAATTGAACCCTCTTCATAAATGCCTGATTACCTTCAGCCTTGCTCGATTTTTCTTCTAATTAGAAATCTGCTTTAGTTTCTTTCAACATTAGAGATTGAGATTCCCTTTTCCTGTACAAGGCAAAGCTTATGGAAATGTTCTATCACTATCCTACTTTTACCTTTGATTTAATTTCAATTTCCATATACAAAACAGGATGCTGCACATTATACCTAAAAGAAATATAGTTGGGGTATTATCCCTGTAATAGGCAACTTATCTAGGACTGCCAAATAAGCAGCTCCTTTGGAGATCAAGATATTCAAAATCACGAGGTGTGTTAAAGAGCTATAGAGACTAATCAGCAAAACACTTAAATCAGTGGCATAAAGTTAAAATCACCAAAATGACAATGAGAAGGTTCAAAAGGAATAAATCTTTTGATAGGACTTTTCCTATGTTGGAAGTGTATGAGAAATAATGCTGGGTGTAAAATCCATTAGATTTTAAAAAGAAAGTAAATAGACATTTGAAATTATGAAAACAAACAAAATGGGATATGGACAACGATTGGCTTGTACATGGAGCCAGCCAAATTGCTTTGGTATGTCTTACAAATTTCTATTAATTTAGGACTTCCAGTCTAGGAGTCAGATTTTCTTGCCTTTGCTTCATAACGAGTCATATAAAGCTTTGTTTGTCAATGAGCACCATTTACTTCTTTCAACATTATATCTCGGTGCCATACATCCATCAGCTAAATGATGCAAGAATTAGAAATTAAAAATACAGCTCCAGTTTCAAATAGGGAGCAACTCACCTCCTGACTCCCCAAATCTTGTCCATCATCTACAAAGCACAAGCCAGGAGTGTGATGGAATATTCCCCACTTGCGTGGATTGGTGCAGCTCTAACAACACAAAAAGCTTGACACCATCCAGAATAAAGCAGCCCACTTAACTGGCATCACTTCCCTCCCCCATTCTTGCTCAGTAACAGCAATGTGCACCATCTACAAGATGCACTGCAGAAATTCAAAGATCCTCAGACAGCACCTTCCAGAACATTGCCATCTACAAAGACAAAGGCAACAGATACACGGGAACACCACCACTTGAGTGTTTCTTTCCAAGCCACTCCCCATTCTGACTTGGAAATAAAACACCTCTCCTTCACTGTTACTCATTCAAAATCCTGGAATTTCCTCCCTCGAGTACGTGGACTGCGGTAATTCAAGGAAGCAGATCACCACCACCTTCTCAAGGGCAACTAGGGGCAAGCAATAAACTCTTGACAGCCAGCGACATCCATGTCCCACCAGTGACTAAAAACTACAGCTGCTAAAGACACATCTGCACAAGAGTGGAAGGCAAAGAGATACTGGGGGAAAGAGTACAAGCTCAACATGTTCCCTTTAGGGTGAAATTTAGGAGCAAGAGAACCGTGGATATCTATGAATATTGAGGATTGGATAAAAAGGGAAAGACAGGTGTACAAGTAGAAAGGGAGCAAATCAATGGAGGCCAAAGAGCATAGAAAGTGCACGAGGAACTCAAGAAAGCAATTAGGAGAGCAAAGAGGAGACACAAAAACATATTGGTGGGCAAAATTAGGAAAAATTCTAAGATATTCTACAAACATATAAAAGGGGAGAGAATAACCAGGTAAGAGTAAGGCCCTTTAGGGACCATGGGGGAAATCTGTACGTGGAGCCAGGGAACATTGGAGAAGTGTTAAACGAATACTTTGCATTTGTCTTCATTTGGCGGGGGGGGGAGGGCGTTGGTGGTGGTGGTGGTGGTCAGAGTTACTGAATTTGGGGAAAACGATTGTGATGTTCTCAAGCAGCATGACATAAGCAGCGAGGTGGTTTTGGAGATTTTGGCCAGCTTAAAATGGATAAATTCGTGGGTCTAGATGACCTGTTTCCTGCAGCAGCCTGGGTTAATTTTTCAAGAAGGGTAGACCAGGGAACCTCATGTCAATGCTATGGAAACTACTGGAGAAAATTCTGAAGGAGAAAATCCATTTCCATTTAGAGGCAAGGTTTGATCAGGGATAGTAAGCACAATTTTGTCAGAGGAAGGTCATGCCTAACAAATCTGGTTGAAGTTTTTGAGAAGATTTGTAGCTCGGGCTGTGGACAAGGTTATAGACCTGCTCGCTGAGCGGGTGGGTTTCGGTGCAAATGTTTTGTCACCCCACTAGGTAACATGGTCAGTGCACCTCCGGTGAAGCGTCGGTGTTCTGTCCTGCTGGTTATTTACATGCCTCGGTTCCAACCGAACTCCAAACACATCGAATTAGACCCTTTACACAAACCAGTGAAAAACAGAACTGGAAGTAATACCAACCACCCCAGCAAAGTGAGGCATATAAATATCAAGTAGAACAGAACATCGATGCTTCACCAGAGGTGCAGTGACGATGTTACCTAGTAGGGCGATGAAATATTTGCAACCAAATCCATCGGCTCGGCCAGCAGGTACACAACCTCAAATCTGGTTGAAATTAGCGAGGAGGTGACCAAGTGTGTAAATGAGAATAGTGCAGTTGATGTAGTTTATATGGATTTCAGCAAGGCCTTTGACAAGGTTCCACATGGACACTGATAAAGGTGGTAAAAGCATATGGGGTCCAGGGTAACTTGGCAGGTTGAATTCAAAATTGTCATAGTGGCAGGAGACACTAGGATGGTGGTAGAAAGTTGTTTGCGTGATTGGAGGTTAGTGTCCAATGGCATTCAACAGTGATCAGTGCTGGGTCCCCTGTTGCTTGTGGTCGATAAGAATGCGCATGTGTTTGTGTATGTGGTGATGGTGAGAAAGGTGGTCTTAGGTTACAGAGGACACACAGATCAGTCAGATAGACAGATGAAACTTAACCCTGCTAAGTGAGAGGTGATGTGCTTTGGAAGAAATAACATGGAGTACTTAATGAATGGCAGAACACTAGGAAGCTCAGTGGAATTTGGGGTGCTTGTCCAATGAACCCAAAAAAGGTGGAAAGCAGGTAAATAGGGTAGTTAAAATGGCAAATTGTCTTGAGTAATATAGGCAAGTGACCATAGATAAGAACAGGGACGTTATGTTGGAGCTGTACAGAACTTTGGTTAGTCCACAACTGGAGTACTGCGTGTAGTTCTAGTCACCACACCATAGCAAGGATGTGCACTGGAGGAGGTGCAGACGAGATTCATGAGGAAGTTACCTGGAATGCAGAATTTTAGCGAAGGAGAGAGGCAGGATAAGCTCAAGTTGTTTATTTGTAACAGAGAAGTTTTTTTTTGGGGCGGGGGGGGGGAAAAAAAAAAAAAAAAAAAAAGAGTCTGATAGAGGTGTATAACATTATGTGGAGCATGGACACTTTCAATGTGAAAGGCCAGAGATTTAGACGGGACTTGAGGGAAATTATTTTCATCCAGATGGTAGCAGAAATCTGGAATGCATTGCCTGGGAGCGTAGTTGAGGCTGGTAACCTTACGACCTTTAAAAAGTACTTGAATGAGCACTTGAACTAATATAATTTGCAAGGCTCTGGGCCAAGAACTAGAAATTGGGACTAGTACAGATTTAGTATAGTTTTCAATTTATAGACTCAATGGGTCGAAGGGCCTTTCCCATACTGTATGATTGTAATGATAATGCACTTAACCTGTGGATTGGAATAAGAAAGTCCACTAAGCTATTTCCAGCCCTGTAGTTAATTTTTGCCTCAAAATCAAGCAAGAACATTGGGAGATGATGTGAGCAAACCCTCCCTTTCATACGTAGTTTTAAGAATGCTTTTTTTTTTAAATCACCAACTTAATCAAAAAATGTGACAGGTTGAAGTGAACAGGAAATTGCCTCAGTATACCGCTTCATAAAACATAACGCAATGCTTCACAGAGGTCCTAAGTTCAACTGCATTTCTCTGAAGGGCATACTGGAGGGAGTGATGAGCTATCCCAGGATATTTCAGCCCTCGCAGAGATGGTGCATAGCACCAGATTCAAGAAAAGAAAATATCTTTTGATTCAAAACCAGAGGAATTCAGCATGCACATTTTTCTCATTAAACGGACCGTCATTGTTCAACCTTACCTGGATTGCTTCTTCAAAAATATGGTGATAATTCCAATGAATTCATAAGCTACAGGACCACTTTCTTCTGGTCTTGTTACAGTACATTTACTCTTTTCAAGTTCAATTTTCAAAGTAACATTCACATGCACACATGCTTAGTACAATGGCAATACAACTATGTATGAGGCAACATGCAAATTTCACATTTCCCATGGCTCCAGGCCTTAAATGAAAATGGTTGTGTTTCATGTTGACATGTAAATAATTCCACCCCACAAACATTCACACAGGGACTTGAGTGAGTCAACTCTAGCCCTGAGATCAACCAAAGACACGTGATTTGGCTCCACTACTTCGAAAATCAAAACGTCTACACTAAATTCACTGAAGTAACCACAACTCACTTACAATCCAGCACAAAGTTACGAGTATGAGCATCCATGAAAAGCTCTCAATGTTGAAAGGGGTGCTGTAGGGTTGGCTTTAAGGCAAGTTTGAGTTTACACAATTGGTGACATTCACTCACCAATTAAGTGAGAAACATTTTCAAGAAGCTTCGAAGTTCTCCTCAGAGGACATGTTGCTTCTTGACCATAAAATCTGCAGGCAGCTGTGAACACAATCATTGCTATTTCTCTCTCTCTCTCGCTCTCTCATTTTTGTAACATACGGAAATAAAAGTGAGATTGCAAATTTATCCTGCAGGAAGTTAACTCAGGATACTGCCTCCATTTAAAAAAGTTAGCTTTTGCTGCTCAAGTTTCACATAACCTAGGATCACAATTTCATTTTTGAGCTGCAAGTGCATCAACTGATCATGGCAGGAACTATGATGGGCCTGCAAAAGTTTTAAGCACTTGGAAGTTGGGCAACCCAGAATGTGATAAAGGGACTTTTAATTTTTTTTTTTGCAGAGATCCTGAACGAAAGTACACGGGAATGAACATTAGGGGAGATGAGGAACAAGCTCCGCTCTAATGTCCCCTCCCACTTTTGTGCTGCCTGCCAGCTTCACACCATCTAAACCATGAAAAACTGTCACTTGGAAGAGGTACTGGAGGGCTTCTGGTGACCATGTGACAGCATGCTAACAAAAAGGTCAACATCTTATACAGAAAATAAATGTAAATAAAGTGTTAATTGTGTATCAACTGTTAAATTATACTTCTGTGGAGACCATTACCTGGTGCTTTGTTTGAGCACCTATAAAGAGACACTGACAAACCATGGGCTTAGGAAGTACATGCTTTAACATCTCACTCTAAATTACCACAAGATTGAATAAAGATGGCCTTTAGAATCCTTCAAATGGCTTTCTGTAATACAGTACTATGCTGGTTGTAAAGCAGCTTTCACATGGTCAAATTCCACATACAATAAAGGAAGAACATTGATTTTATAGTCAAAGGGTTTACTTTTTATTCTCACCAACTTGAAGATAATCATGTGTTTACATTCCTACCAGGTTTTTCCACTTGTAATTTGGAGCAACATCCCAAAGGGTTTTACAGGAAAGAGCAACAACTTGAAATTGATTTGGACATTGCTCTATAATAGACAAAGCAAGCTAAACTCATTAAAATATGTATTTTCATCTGGTTATGTAAACCTCCTGAGGCTAGGTAATTCAGAACAGCCTGTTGTTGCAACTACACCGATTCCCGTGCAATTCTCTCAATTTCCAACATAACCTGAATCACGACATTAGTTCAGAAAGAAACAAAGATTTTCCTCATTATTTCTATGCTAGCAAGAAGGTGGATAACAAAAAGAAAATTGTAATTCTCTTCAAACTGGAGCATTTTGAATTGTAAATATTCTTCCTAAAATTTTGTTCTCTTAAGCCAAGAGACCACTTTCCACATTCAACCCATCAGATTACTAGCATTCCATGAATACAATATAAACATTAGTAAATATGATTTAGCACCCACATTTTCATGCCATCCTGGCATCTGCAATAATCAAATACAATGAGACTAAAAGCATGCAGATGTTCCAGGCCTTACAAACATCCTTAAATGGAACCGGATACATGGCTTTTCTCAAAATCAGGAATCCAAAGGATTTGCAGAAATCTTTCATAGAAAAATATCCACCGCACTATGTAACTAAGTGAAACTCAGATGAAGCACCAACCAGCTTGATGACCTGACATAATGAAAAATCCAATACTTTTAACAAGAAGTTTGGATTCTTTTTCCAGTCAACAATATCTGCTTTTCCTCATTGCTTGTCGTATGACAAACAGTTGAGGGCTCTGGGTCTGTACTCAAAAGGAGCTTGGAAGGATGAGAGGAGATCTCATTGAAACTTACAGAAAACAAACGCCTGGATAGACTGGACACAGAAGATGTTTCCACTAGTAGGAGAGACGAGAAGTTGACGTATGGCCTCAAAGTGAAGGGATGACCCTTTAGGACTGACAGAAGTAACCTCTTCAGCCAGAGGGTGGTGAATTTGAGAAACTCACTGCCACAGAAGGCTGTGGAGGCCAAATTATTGAGTGCCTTTAAGACAGAGACAGATACTGGTACTTGATTAGTAAGGGGATCAAGGGTTACGTGGAGAAGGCAGGAGAATGGGGTTGAAAAACCTACCAACCATAACTGAATGGTGGAGCAGATCTGATGGGCCAAATGGCCTAATACTAATTACAGGACCATAAAATATAGCAAAGAAATTTAGCAATAAGGGACTACATCCAGCTCGTTATACAGGACCACGATTAAAGCTCCCAAACAAATTGTCCTTCAATGTAAACAGAATTTCAACACATCTATGGGTTTGAAAGGCCTCACTTGAGAATAAAATTTAAATAAAACAAAACACTGAAATTGCGTACTTTCATAAAAATGGTGCACTTTGAGATTTTTATATAAGGTTACTAGCAGGTCAATGCAAAGACATTGACATCAATGAATAAAACACAGAAGTGCTGTAATCCTTCAAAAGTACAGGATATAGACAGGCTAACTAAAGCCAAAGTCTAAATATGAAACCCTCAAACTTGCTCTCACAAAAGCTATAGATCCTGGGTCAGCTGAAATTTTCCAGACAAATCAACAGATTTTTACGAGGCTAGGGTATTAAGAGATAAGAGTATGGATAGATGAATCGTGTTACAGCACAAATCAGACCTCAGATTGGTGGGACAGACTCAAGGAGCTGAAATGGCCTTGTCCCACTTGTCAGTTCTAATGTAACCAGTTTAGCTTGATATTCAGACTAACAACATTGAGATGAGTAACATCCATGCGTCATAAGAACCTAACACATTCCTCAGGCTTCTCACTTTATAAAGGACACAACAACAAACTTTGCACTGAACACTGTGGAATAAGGCAACAGGCATTACTATATCTGTTGACAAGTAATACAAGCACCATAGATATCTTGTGATCAGCATTCAACTAAGGATAGCCAAAATAAACAAATCACTACATGGTCCAAACATGCTGAATTCCTGAGATAAGTGACTGCGCTTGACATTAAGGCTACATTTGACAAAATGTGGTACCAAGACACCCCAAAGCAAAAGCCACTGGGGATCAGAAGATTATTAAAAGGAGAATGGTTGTGGTTGTTACACAGTCCAATCATCTAAGGCTCAGAACATTACTGCAGAGAATTGTCAGGGCAGGGCCTTGGCTGAGCTATTTTTAAACAATATCCACTTTCCAGGAGATCAGAATTGGGATAATTGTTATTGACTGCATGATAATTAAGTTCGATTTAAAATTCTTCAGAAGTTGAAGCAGTCCATGTTCACATGATCAAAACCAGGATAATTCAAGCTTGGCTGATATGTAAATATTAATGCTATAAAAAAAAACTTTAACAAGAGTGAGCAATCACATTCCTGATATTCAATTCTATTTTCATTGCTAATTCTACCACCATCTACTCTTAATGGTCACCATTGACAAGAACTTTGACTGGATCAGCCAGGAAATACCATGGTCACTAGTGCTGCTCTAAGGCTATGTATTCTATGGAAAATGGCTCACTGACTCTGAATCTTCTCCACCTTCTCTAAGATACAAGTCAATAACGTGAAGGGACATTCATCCAGATGGATAAAGCTGCAGTACTCTGCATCATGCAGACACAGCAATTCAACTGATTGATAGTCAGTCACTCACCACCTCAAATATTCCATTCTCTCCATCAGTGCATCATGACTACACTTACTACCTACATGGAGTGTGGCAGGAACTTTCTAAAGTTTTGCAAGAACCTTCCAAATCCAGAACCGTTAAGATCAAGAATAGGCATGTGGGAATGCTATCCTGACTTTACCATAGATTTTTTTGTTCCTTTATTGCCGGTGGGCCTCCCTACCTAACAGCAAATGGTATTTGAGTCATTCAAAAGAAAAATATAAATGCTTAACAAACTAGCAACCCCCATGCCCCAAAAATATTAAGCCAGAGCTTGATAGGATTGACTAGAAAACTGTTCACTTCCAAGATACAAACATATCTTACAGATTTCGGAAGATTTTCTTAAGCAATTGAGTGAAATATACAATATATACAGTTTGAAAAGTTGCTACTACCCATCTACTAGGAAAACGTTAAAAGTTCAAAACATTCAAAAACATTTTGTTTTTACCCAAGATAAAACAAATTACCATGGTCACCAGAAACACAACCAGGTTTTCTTCATAGGCCTGTTGAGGTAGTTATGCTATAATGCACACGACAACAGGGGATGCACATTCCAATTAGAAGCCAATGTTAGAATAGCAAAAGGCCCCACTCACTTGTAATATCATAGACAACAACTGCAACAGTAGAGTCACGAATGTAGCTAGGAATCAAGCTCCTGAACCGCTCCTGACCTGCTGTGTCCCATAACTGCAACCGCACCTAGTCATCAGGCAAACAACAGCAAGAAAAGGGAGGAATAAGAACATCAAGGGCTGCTCCCTTTTGAATATCAAAACTTAATATACCTACTTGTAATATCGTAAACTACTACAGCTGCGGCTGAATCACGGATGTAACTGGGAATAAGGCTACGGAAACGCTCTTGGCCTGCAGTATCCCAGAGCTGAAGCCGTATCTGTAGGATGGGAAAAAAAGTCAAAGAGAACAAAACCAATGGCAAGCACTAAAGCACACAAAGCAAATGAAACTGGAGTGGGGGGAGTGGTGGAGAAGGAGAGCTAATGCAGGAACTAAAAGTCAAAGTATAAACCTAGAGCAAATTGGTGTTAAACCCATAAGTAGCAAAATAGCATGGCATCACATCTCAAGAAATAACTGAGGAAAATTTACAACCTTTCCATTCCATAGATTTGCTATCTGCAATAATATAACCTGCACAAATTTATGCTTTTACATTGGTGTTAATGTGTTGAATACACTATGGAGTGCTGAAATATGGGCTAAGTGCAACTTGCGTAACGGAATGTTGAACTTAAATACTGCCAGCTGCTAGGAATCCTCACTTCAGGAGCCAATAATGCAAAACATTCCACTGGTAGTTACAGGGGAACTGTATAAAATCTTGCCTGGCTGTGTGTCCTTTGATATGGTGCTTTACATTTTTTTAAATAATGCAAGTTCACTTTGCATTTGGAAGAGAGTCTGGATAATGCTCAAAGTTATCCTGCTGACAAAAATTATAATGCTCAAGAATTTAGAGCATAAAGTGGTATACATAAAGAATACATCATTGCGTTTTCTATCCCAGATTTAACTGGAAGCCAAAGATAAAGATCACTAAACAAATCATTTGAGAAGGACGACAAGAACAAAAATGCATTCACTAATGCAAAAGTGGGAACTTTTTTGTTTATTCCTTCATGGGACAAGGGTCAGCATTTATTGCCCATCCCTAAATGTCCTGGAGGAAATCATAAAGACCAGCTTGATTGAATTGCTACAAATCCTTGTGTATGGGAAAAACAAAAAAAAACAAGCAACTGCAAAAGCTGGAAATCAGAAACAAAAGCAAACAGGAAATCAGGTCTGGCAGCATCTGCGGAGAGAAAGCAAAGTTAACGTTTCGGATCCAGTGACTCTTCTTCCCAAATGATTTTAGCTAGCTTTGATGAAGATGGGATGAGCTAAGAACATGGGAGAAGGTACTCAGGCCCTAAAATTACTGAACTCACTATTGAGTCCTGAGGCTGCAGGGACCCCAAGAAGAAGCTAAGATGCTGTTCTTCTACTTTGTGTTGAGTTTTGCTGAAACACTGCACCAAGCCTGCGACTGAGATGTTGTCCAGGGAACACTATGGTGTGTTGAAGGAGCACACAGTAGGAAGGTCGGGGTCATTTTTGTGGACAAAACATAGGTGTTCTGCAAAGTGGTCACCCAGTCTTCATTTTGTCTCCTCAATGGACAGCAGACCACATCATGATCAGCAAGTACAGTAGACTAGATTAAGTCCAGGTAAATCGCTGCTTCATCTAGAAGGTGGTGTGTTTGGTGCCTTGGATAATGGGGTGGGAGAAAGTAAACGGTGATGTGCTGCACCTTCTGCAATTGCATGAGAAGGTGCCGTGGGCTATGGGGTGAAGGAGAAGTAGACAAACGTGTGCTGGATGGAACAGTCCCTGCGAAAGGCTGACGAGGGAGTGGGCAGAATGTGTGTCTGGTGGTGGCATCCCACAGGAGGTGGCAGAAATGGCAGTTAATAGTATTCTGGATATGGATGGTGGTGGGATGGAGCAGTATGGGCCAGGGATAACCTATTGCTGTTGTGGGAGGGAAATGAAGGAGTGAGGGCTAAAGCGCAAGAGATGGGTCAGGTTGAGGGCTCTATCAACTATGGTGGAGGGGAATCATCAATTGAGTAGCCAAGTGGACATATCAGAAGCCCCCTTTCAGACCATCATTGAAACAGATGCGACAGAGATGGAGAAGCTGACAGAATGGAAGAGTCTTTACAAGAAGTAGGGTGTGAAGATGTACAGTCAAGATAACTGGCAGTGAGTTTGTAGTGGATATTGTGGCCAGTATCACCAGATTTGTAAACAGTGACAGGAAAGGAAGGGGAGGAGTCAGGTGGACCGGTGAAGCTGAGAGCAGGGTGGAAATTGGAAGCTACATTGATAACCTTTTCCAATTCAAGATGAGAGAGGGAAGCAACACTGAGCATGTCATCTATATACTGGAGAAAGGTTGAGAGTGGAAGCCAGAGTAGAATTGGAACAAGGAATGTTCCATGTACCCGACAAAGACAGGCATAACTGGGGGCTATGCAAGTACCAATGGTCACACCCTTCACCTGAAGAAAGTGAAAGGAGTTAGAAGGTGAAGTTGTTCAAAGTGAAGACAAACTTGGCCAGGAGGAGAGGGGGACAACAGGGATAGTTCAAGCATCTCTTTCCAGGAAGAAAACAGTCCCGAGACCATCATGATGAGGAATGGACGTGTAAAAGGACTGTACATCCTTGGAGCAGTGGTGGCGGTTGAAGCCCGCAGAATGGAAATTTTTCCATGTAGGAAGTGTTATATATCTTACAAATACTTTTAGACACTTGTATACCAGATAATAAAATACAAATAACTTTGTTTTTAACAGAGTAAACTTTGCTGGCTATTGACAACAGTTGACAGAAGATGTAACTTATGAGAAAACATTCTATGAATAGAGGAGAATCTGAACAAAATTAATAAAGGAATGGAACTTCAGGTCCACCGTCAAAGATGACAGCAGCTTAGAATCTATTGTCCATACAGTATACATATTGCTCATATATTAACAAAACTAAAAACTTATTTTAAGGTATCACAGAGAGGCGAGATGACATACCCTCCTCTCTGGTGACACATCCTGGCAGAGCTTATAAAAGGTTTACAATTTATAAGAGCAGGCATGCTCATTTATTGCAACATTAGAACAAACACTTGAGGCCTGGGGTGACAGAACTCCTGGCTCAAAGACTTACTCTCAGTGCACTAAACCCATCTGATAGCCGTCGGTAATCAATATGGATTTAACAGTATTCCCACACAAGTACTAGAAACAATTGATAAGCTTAGTATGGAGTGACCCAGCTTCTCCCCATTTACCCTAGCGACAGCAGTTTCGATTTCCAACAGCTGCTAATATCTGCGCTCTTCACAGGGAAGAAAGGGTTCCACATGCAAGAGCTACTGGAAAGAAAGAGTGGACTCCAAAATAGATTACAACACAGCTGAGATTAAATGTTAGCCATTAAGCAAGATTAGCTAAAAATAGGACCCCACCTTGATGCAACATTAGAATACGCCACACAGACAAGACAAAGCTTCAGCTCTTATAAGCTTTGCTCATTTCACCACAATGCTATCCCAATATCTTTTTACTAAGTATCTGGACAGAATTTCTAAGTACAGCATTGATCAGTGTCTTCACTTTCCCAACCACTGATCAAATTTGCAAAATTAGTCTTTAAATTTGAAAAGAAATACTTATAGATTACTTACTGTTCGATCTTCCAAATACATAGTTTTTGACAAAAAATCTATTCCAATGGTTGCCTGTAGGATGAAGGTGGTGGGACAGAAGGAATAAAAAGGATCAATTCCAGCAAAATACACAATTAATCAAATTTCAAAAATCATGAAGGCGTGTAATTTCTTTTGATAACGTAACACTCGGACACTCAATACGGTCTTTTATATGAAGATTCTGATCTGTTTACCCTTTCCAAACCAACTTGTTTGGATGAAGTAATCAGCAAATGCACCTATACATTATTAAATCATTTCTGCTCTAGGCCATTCATAGGTGTAGAGAACTCAGTAATAACTAAGTATGGCAAAGTCACCGCTGTCCCACTGGATCGTAGAGCTACTTTCTCACTGGAGAGACACAACTAGTGATGGTTTAACCCAAGGATCATCACACCTCAGACAAGGTTGAAAAGGTGGAATTTTAACAGTAACCTCAGCCAGTGTGGGAATTGACACCATACTGTTGGCATCAGTCTGTATCACAAGCCAACCACACAGTTCCAAACCAAGAGAGTTTCATTGGAAGCCTGCAAATATTGTAACTGAGAAAAATTCAGGCTCTTACTTTTGTGGAAAAGTTCATGTTGACAGATTTGGAAT